TCCAAATATCCCTCTTTCTTTGATTTTTGCGCGGTCATTCGATCAGAGTGGGTTTTGCGGAGTTAATTTTCACTTCTTTGATACGAATTTCTGCTTTAAATCCTAAATCTAGACATTTCGTGAGACTCGCCACGCCGAGAATTTTCTCGGTTAGGAGAGCCAAAGTGTTTATCTGAAGAAAAGTTGTCCCGCCTGCCAGGGTTACGCTGCGAGTTAAAATGGCTTTTTGGGGAAAATATTTTATTCTTAGGATTTGTTTTCTCAAAGTGCAACTTTACCTGTGTATTTACTTGTTTATTTATTTGCCAATCCACATTTTTTTTATTTTACTATTTTTCAGCGCTGAAAAATTTTTCAACGTTTTAGTTTGAATTTCATCAATCAAATTGCGAGGACTTTAGGATACGCAGTTGACAAGTTGCTGAATGGTTCAAGGATTAATTTACACGGGCAGTTTTGGAAAGCAAAGCTTGAATTTGTTTCCAGGCAACACGCCTTTCCAAGGAAACCAAAGGTGTAATTTCTCACATTTTCTAGACATGGTCAAAACTGGACTGTTCTTTACTTTTTTCCCGAAAGTGAACTGCTAACTATGAAAATCGTGAGTTGAATATACCGTTTAGACTGAATGAAATATACGGGATATGAACAGTCCCCCTCAGGTGGTGTGAATTTTTTAATAATTATTACTTTTTTATTTCTTAAATTTCTATTCCTAGTTTATTTATGTCTTTAATTAATCTTTTAATTCACTTTTAAATTCTTTTATTTCTATTTTTTTTTAAATTTCTTTTTTTAATTTTTTTGATTTTTTTTTCTTTTTAGACTCCGCACCCCGCACTCCGCACTCCACACTACGCACTCCGCACTCCACACTACGCACTCCGCACTACGCACTCCGCACTACCCACTCCGCACTCCGCGTTTTCGGAACAGTCGCCGAGGCGAGAATACTCGCCCACCCGAGTTGTACCGTCCCCCAAGACGGGTTCGCGATCCTCTTGTAAACAGTTGGTTGAATTTTGCAAAGAAAAAAGTGAAAAGTTACCTCGGCTATGGTACCTTGCGGGCAGGGTTGTCTTGGGTAACCGAGACCATATCAATGGAGCCTTAGACTTACCGCTTTCCTAGTGGCACCACAACCGTTACAGATAAGCCGAGAAGGCTCTTTTCCTTATCGTTAAAAAGTTTATTTCACAAGTGCTTGCACTGTCATCCTGAAGCAAGACTTCTTCCCTCTAAACTGCGCCAAAAGCGATTTAAGCTTCTTTTAAAGTTTCTTGTTTTAACTAATCCGCAGTCCGCAGACACGTCCGGTACGAGAATTCGAAATATGCGAGATCTCAAGTTACTTCGCTGAAGAGAAGTCAAATGTTAATGTTACTGACGTTTATTTGGTATTTTTTTGATCCCGTCCCACATCAAGAAGGGTATTTAAATAAAGCGTCACCTTGATACCTTGTGTATCATGTGCCGAGGGGGGGTTGGGGGGGGGGGGTTGGAGGAGAACTTCTATGTTAAAGAAGTGGGGACGGGGTCATTTTACTTAGGGGCAGTCAGGGGAAAACGCCAAGGTAGCTTTTAGGGTTTGCGCGCGAACAAATTGACCAACGCACGCATGCTGTTTTGGTGGTTTTAAGTTTATTGGAACGGAAACCTACCTCCTATATTTAAACATTTAGTTTTACTCAGCTCGATTAGCTTTTCAGTTATTCTGAGTAAACGTCACTTTTTTTTGTACTAATATATTGTATTTGTAAATTAAGTTTAACTTCTTGATTTGGTAATAAAGCTTGTTGTTGTTGTTGCTGTTGAAATATTGTTCTTGGTGTTGGGATCAAATTGTGATCGAGCTTAAACCACGTTCGATCCAATCGGTCCTCTTTTAAGAGTTTAATTCAACGAGTATTTCCGTGTTTTTAACAGGGCCAGTTCCCCACGGGTCTTGTGTGATCATCCCTCCTCGTAGCCAGACAAAAATGTCAACATAAAATTTTTTGCCTGTCACGTAATCTTATACTGAAATAAATCGAGCGCGAGTCTAACCCCGCTTCGGCAAACTGACTGATTACAGTACCGCAGCATCCGATGGAAATGAAGTCAGCTGACGACTCTAGTATATTCAGTAAGTTTTATTTCAATTTGAAATTCAGTAGCAAGTTAGGCGCCTAACTTGCTACTGAATTTCACTCTATCCGCTTACACGCAAAGCAGATTACGGTCACTGCCATTAATATGCCAACAAGTCATTCTTAGGCACTACGCTTATTCGAGTACAAAGATATTCATGAGCGGAAACGTTAACTGACTGCAATCAACACTGCTTTTGCTGAACCTGTAATGAAGTTTCAGCAAAAGCCCAAAGCAATGTCATTTTGTCCACAGTTTTATAGTTTCCCTGTACCAGCAGTTTTTGCATGACGCAGCCGTTTTGAAACGCAATATCATAAACGTGTCAAACGATCTTTAAGCGTCCATCCGGAGTATAAGCAATGTAGAAGAACTTTTTCAGATAGGACACTTACGCGTTCCTCCGAAAAAAGAACGCCTGAGCGCACCTCGCTTCAGCAAAACAACTGAATTTAAACTTTCTGTGTTGCTCAGTCAAAATGCCAAAAATGCCTCATCACTGCGTTGTTTGCCGCCGAAGCGCGCGGGGGGATATTGTCAGAAAAGTTCGGTGGGGGTGTGCGGTCCGCTTGTCAAAACCGTTACCCTATTTATGACCAAAATCTGCGATATTCCCTACCCTAATTATGACCTGACCAAATATTCGATACCCTATTTATGACGTAACCATTAAATTAAAACCCTGTTTCAGACCTGCGTTATAATAAGTTCCCTAGTTCAGACCAATGCTAAATTACCGTAAACATAATTTGTGAAGGGCTTTTGTTAATTTGATTATGATGAAAAAGTGGCTTCTTCTTAAAAACATACCCATATCAAGGCTAGAGTGCAAAAACCATACCTTATTTATGACCAAAATGGCCAAAATAGGCTAAAATCGATACCCTATTTATGACCAAAACAGCTGAAAAACTATACCCTTTGGGGCCGCACATTCCTATATAGCTGATACAAGGGAGTACCCCACCCCTTCCCCGGGCGCCGAAGCGGTGTTATGAAGCTGTTCAAGGAAGTAGTTAATTTTTCTGGATTATCCAACTAGCAACACACAGTTTAAAGAACTGTATTTTATTCCCACATTCAGACGATCTACACTCTGGTGATGTATGCATTCAGCTAAAACCATTCCACAGTTTCCTAATGAAACAATGTCTCTTTTTAAGGTCTTCTCTAATTGCGTGATATATAACATGAGATTACAAACCGCAAGATGAGCGTTAATTCTTCAGTAATAAGTTGTCAATCATTACTTCCATTATTATTAGTAATCTACTGTCTGAGGTCCACTCTGTAAGGCCGTCGATAAAAGCCGGAACATGGAACATCCCGGAACATCCCGAAACATTCCGGAACATCCCGGAACATCGAATAATTATGATAATTATGAGAAAAATATGTAAATTTAAATTTTCGAAAATAAAATAAACAAAAACAAACTGGTATCAGCTCGAAATATGAAAAGATGTTTTTCGGGGAAGGGGAGTTGGTAGGGAGGGCTAGGGAGCGTTGGGTATTCCTTCAACTGACCACAATGAAAGCAGGCTCCTGTTCTTTCCTGACAATGCGTCACGTGGTTTTACACCACTCTGTTTTTCAACACCAACATGGACGATTCGAACGATGAAAGCCAGGTAATTCATTGCGTTTCCTTTATTGATCCCTGATTTCTTCAACATATGAGGTGTTCGTGACATCTGAGCATCATACAGTTACTTGTAAAGTCAGTAGCCATAGTTTTGTCACTATTCCGTCTTCATGTTGCAATTATCATCCCCAGTTTTGCGTTCTCCGCTAGGAACGCCTGGCACTATGACCCACCAAGTGCAGACTCGGCCTTTCCGGAAACCCGAGTAATCAAAGATTAAAGTAGTGCGTCCTCGCGCACACTACGCATGTTTGGTCTACTTTGGTGGCGTTCGAATGGCTCGATAGAAAGCTAAGTTTGATCGAATGTCAGATAACGATCTGCACGCGAAGTTGAACTAGCGATGAATAGATTATAGCCTGCGGTAAAAGTGTTTCAATTAAATAAGTATTAACTTGTACGCGAGAAAACATATTCCAGGAAAGGCATTTGAATTTTTGGCGACACTTAAAATTCAGTTTCAGATCGCCAACGTTTGTAACAAATATTCCTTGAGACAATAAAGTTTTGACCAGCGACCCTGCAAGACAGCGTGTCGCCAAAAGTTTTTAAATTTTGTGCTTGTATTTGTTTACACTGTCATCAGAGCTCGAGCAGTCCGACCTAGTTTACACAAGACACTCAATGCAGAAGAGCTCCTATTTCTATCTCATGGAGAAACTATTCCTTCATCAGAAATCGTATGTGCATACCTTTGAATTGACGTAATGAATTGAATAAGGAAATCACACCTGGGTACCCATAATTTTCTGTCTGATTAAAGAGTTGGAACGCCATTACCTTGATTTTCTATGAAGAACGAAGACTGGGAATAAGGAACAGTCACGTGATTGAACTGATGGCGAACGGCTGAAAGGAATGGATTAGTCTTCTAAGTTGCGAGCTTTCACTCATTGCAGTCATTTTCGTTTTTCTTTCTTTTTTTGTTTTGTTTTTTGTTTTTTGTCAGACACCGCGCAATTTCACGCCTGAACAAGTTCCATGTAAAAATAAGCTCTATATTGACATTGCTTTTCTTACATGCAGGTCACAAAGTTGGACCGTGACCCAGCATCAGCAACAGCTTTGCAAGAGATCAGCTTTTGGTTGGATCTTGAGAGAGCCTTGCAAAGAATCCAGGACGTTAGGGAGAGTCCAGACATTGCACTCACTTTGAACATCTTGAAACATGGGAAACGGTTTCATGCTACCGTCAGCTAGCTTTGACACTGATACAGGTATACTAAAAGTTAATTTTATGTTAATTAAACTCATCACCATCATGAGTGTGGGGGAAGGTGCCTGGCAAGTCTAAAAATGGTTCATAGTAAGCAATCAGCAGGTTTACGGGACTTCTAATTAATTTTTATCAATCATGTGTGCCTAGTATAGAGCAACCAGAGTTTAGAATGACTGAATCACTCAATAAGTGCTTGTAACTCTTCGTCTGATAAGACAGAAAGCAACATCTTGACATAATAAAATTAAACAGGAAAACATTATCAAACCTAGTGTCACTCCCGACTCCCCTTGGGAGATTTTTTGTCGGTCACGTGATGTGACCATTGGACTTTAAGTCGCCATGTGTTCAAGAAAGCGAGTGTTTTGAATCGCAGGAGTTTGTCAAAGTTGTTATTGTGCCGTTCGTTTAGCTCGAAGCAAACAGTTCGGTAAGTTAACCTTTCGCCTTTGCTATTCAAAGAAGCATTTGGAACTTAATACCTTTTTGTAATTTTCAGAAAACCTCACTCTTACGTATACATTCACACACGTATGCCTGTGATGGAAGCGAAGAGTTTTATTCAAGTTGTTGTGACTTTGTTCATCGACCGAGGCCGTGCGGTCGATGTGTGCCTTTTGAGCTTGAGCCCATTGTGAACTGTGAGTTTTCGACGTTTGTTTTGAGAGGAAATAAAGACAGGCACTACGGTACTGACACCTAGAGTCTTGAATACTGTTATTTGCTTTAAATTTTCAGCAAGATTCTGCATGTATATGCATACATGGATAAGAAACATCATTATCAAAGTAGGATTCATAACTTTTGTTTATTTCTTGTCTTTCCTTTGTAGGCTTGAAACAAGCCTTGGCAACAATAAATGACTACAACCCACTCATGAAGTATTCCCATTGGATGACCTTCTGGCTGCAACAGAACTGGACAAGATCCGTGCTGCACTGAGTGCTACTTTCACTCATTTGAAAAAGATCCGTAGCACTAAGTATCCAAATCCAAAGAGCTTTGCAACTTGTTGATAATGCAACTTGTTGATAATGAAGCCATCTCGAGGGACTTGAACTCACAGCTGTTTAAAAAGGTACATATTTGTACATCTTTGTCACAATTGTAAAGCCAATTTAATAAAAACTTGTCATATAAATTATACACACCAAGGTAAAAAACCAAGATCTCCATATTATCCTCTCCAGTTAACACTGATTTCATAAATGCCCGTTACATCATAAAATAAGCTTTCCTTTCCAAAAACCAAGGATAATGAAATTCTGAAAACTCTTAACACTCTTACATATCACATCTAGAGATGGTAGGATAAGAAAATAATTTAACAACAACCACAACAAAGGCAGCTTTGATCTAGTAAATTGTGCATTTGTACAAATGTAGTAGTTTATAATAATTACTGATGATTTAATTTTAAAAATCATTTTCATTAACTATTATCAGCTGTGTGTGCCATAAATTATGGTTTCTCTGGTGCTTTGTGATAAATTTGTTCAGTATTGCAAAAATCCTGACTAGCATTTCCCTTTAAATTGCTTTTTAATGACTGAAATAATGATATTAGCAAGATATGTGTTGCATAATTAGGAAAAGTAAAAAAATGTAAACTACATTGTCCTATAACAAGAAAGAATTCTACTATGTGTACATATACATGTACATTTTGGCCAAAATACAATTCTAATAATCTTTGCATTAATGTTAAAGGTTTTGGGAACAAGAAGATTGATGCACATCAACCATGAAGAATTTGAAAAGGTAATAGCTCATTTATTGCAATTTGTGTACAGTAAACAGGAAACATACGTATTTCTTTCATACAGCGTAGGTAATGATCTGTGGTCGTAATTCCTTGTAGATCATGAGTCACTTGCTTTGAAGTGTTCACAAGGTGGGATGATGAGTATGAAAAGCTTCAAACCTTGTTACAATCAGACATTGTGAAGAAGAAAAGAGAAGAAAGCCTGAAGATGGTGTGGAGAGTGAACCCAGCTCACAAACGACTTCAGGCCAGACTTGACCAGATGAGAAAGTAAGAATATTGCATGAACCAATAGTCAATAGAGTACATTTTGACTGACTGGCAAAATGTGGGTGACCATGCCCTTCATGTACTAGAAAGCCAGATTGGATGGGCTTAGAAAACAATAGAACAAACAACAGAAACAATTAACCTATCCCTGTAAACTATAGAGGTGGATAATATTGCGATCAAATAAAATTAGAACTTCGAAAGAGGTGTGTGGCTATAGAAAAGTACAGTTTCTTTCAGTTTTTAGTTAGGATTAATTTTGCTTGTTAAAGGGCTCAGGAAATCCCACTATAGATGATGCATTTTATTTTACTCTATCTAGTAACCGATGAATTGCAAATTATTTGCAAAAGATATTGCAGATTTTGCCGCCAACATGAGCAGCTGCGAGCTGTCATTGTCTGTGTACTCCAGCCCCATGTCAGCCGTTAGCCAAGCTTCTCCCCCCAGTCCAGGTAGTCCTCCCAAGACAGCTGAGGATGAGGAGGCAAAGCCAGGAGCTCTGCTTGATCCTGCTGATGCTAACGCCATACAGGAAGTCAACCTTGCTTATGAGAATGTCAAGGAGGTTGATGGACTTGATGTGTCAAAAGATGGGTCTGAGGCATGGGAGGCAGCCATCAAGAGGTTAGGCAGCATGATATTATAGTGTACAAGTCAGGGCGGGGGGGGGCTGGCAGCTACCTTTGATCTCGCTGCTTTTCTGGTTTCTATGATCACCCTAGTGAAGAAATCTGTCAATCATTTGAGGACCGTAACGAGCATGCGCAAAACGCGAAAATACCGTGAGGAAACCAAAACATGTTTCGCCGCCATATTTGCTCAGGATTTGCTTTCGATTCGATAACTTTTTATTCGCTGTTGGCAATTTTTAATGACAGCTCTGAGACAATCAGGACTAAGGGAACAAAGGACAAGCTTTGTGCTTTTTTTCCTGGCGAGCGTGGTTGCATTCTTGGTTGCCTGGAGAGGTTTTCCTGTCTCAGGAAAAAAAACGAAGCTGAAGTTTTTATTTTGCTGTGGAAATTTCAAGGTTCATTACCTTCCATCTTCACACTGACCAATTATTCTTCCCTAATTTCTATGAAAAATAGCGATGTCAAACTGTTTCATGTCTGCCATTATATATCGCGGAGCCTCCGAACGTGTAAGTCTTTAAAATATTTCTCAACTGTTCAGAGTTGTACATTTAAACTTGAGCTTACATTAAACAAGCTTTTCTGTCTAAAGTTTTTTCCGTCTTAACCTACTTTCTTATGAAAGACTGCATTTACTTTATGATTTTCCTGTAATATTTTGAGTCTGAAGAATTTCTTTCGAGTAATTTAAATCATGAAAGTTGAAGGCAGTTGCAGATCAGTCAACAACATTGAAAATAGCTACCAGCTTGCATGTCTCGATAATAGTGATAAATTATAGAGGTTTTGAAACCTCCATCCCTTACTATTCAGTACCAATGTGAACTCGCAAATTTGAAATCATTTTTCTGCGTCTGCATATGGGACTGTCCAAAATGGACTATTTGCTAGGCAGACTCAATGTGAACCTTCACTAGGTTGGAGTATTTCATTTACAAGTTGTTGACCTGTGGAAATAAAGCAGCTTCTGCTCACATGCTTTGGCATAATTTGTACTGGTGATAAGCATCAGTTTTATTTGTGTGGTGGGAGAAAGCTCTGTAATACTTCTGGATATCAAAATAGGGCTGCGATATACTGATCTGCTGAGGGAGATAATTTATGGAATACGGACCCAGGGAAGGCAAATGAGCCATGTTACCTGTAGTTGAGTGCTAGTAAAGAGGTAGGCAGGTAAAATGGTCATTCATCCAGACAACTAACTTTAACTTGGGCAAACCTTAGTGAACAGAAACTCCACAACATTTGAAATAGGCCAGTTTTGAGACTTGGCAATAGCAAGAGAATAGCAAGAAAAGACATCAAGCGCAGGGATTGGTAACAGTCATTTAGCCCCCAAGTCTATTGGCCCCTAACCATTTAAACCCCAACCAGAAGTCGATAAGCCCCCAACCAGAAATTTAAAAGAACTGTATATTTCTCGTTCTTTAAGCGTGAGAAGGGGCTAATCGACTAGTCGGTGGCTAACCGGCTAGGGGCTAATCAAATGACCGATAAGAAAAGGATCAGGCTTGTTTTAATTCCCTTAAGGTAAAAAGATGAGTGAGGATGTTAATGTATCAAATTTGGCCTAAAGTGCTGATTATCAGTGGCTTGTTCCTGTAATGGAAGGACAGCTAAATAAGACAATAAGGAAGACTAATATAAAGTCAGACGAAGTCTTTAATGGTACTTGTCTCAAATGACAATTCTCAATAAAGTTCTCCGTGGATTGTAGTTTGCGTCTTGATTTGTCAGTAAGGGGTTGCAGTATGGTCGTCAAGTACTTAGACAGTTGATACGTAGGGGACCCACAGAATGACACTATAGGTCGCATCGGTATACCAGGTTTGTGCAGTTTTGGTAGTCCGTAAAGTTTCGGTGGTTGAGGTACTGAGCACCTCAGTCGAAAGTAGCGTTGAGTGTCAATAGCGTCAGTCTTTTTAAGTCCAAGTATTTTGCTGTTAAGTTCACGTTAAAGTGCTGGCGTTGGGTTGCGTTTAAGTTTTTCGTAAGTTTGTTTGTCGTTAACAACTTTATTGACGCTATTGAGACAGTACAGATACCTGACGACTACAAACTTGTGTCTTTTGATGTGAAATCACTGTTCACCAGTATTCCACTTCAATTGGCATTACAGTGTACCGAGACCGCTATACAACAATCTACTGTTAAACTGCCGTTACCGACAGAAGACATCATGGACTTACTGAACCTTTGCCTTACATCGACTTACTTTCAGTATAACGGTAAACACTACAAACAGTTGCATGAAACAGCCATGGGGTCGTCTGTTTCTGTTGTTGTCGCAGAAATTGTGATGCAACATGTGGAGGAACGCGCCCTTGTAACTTGCCGACAAACAATACCACTTTGGTTACGCAACGTTGACGACACTTTTACCACCATTCACACAGACGAAATTGACGATTTTCACGAGTACCTAAACAAACAGAACGCCGACATCCGGTTTACTAATGAGATCGAAGAAAATGGAAAACGTCCTTTTCTAGACTCTTTGGTAAGCGCGACAACAACGAACTGCGAACGACAGTGTACAGAAAACCGACGCATACTGACAGATTACTTGACGAATCATCCTACAGCCCGACTTCACACAAAGCCACGACTATAAAGACTTTGACGAGACGAGCGCAACTAGCTTGTGACACACCACACAGCTTACTCGACGAAAACAGATACCTTGAACGTGTTTTTCACAAAAAAAACTACAACGCTGACTTTATTAGACGAAACATTTACCGACCTACTGAAACTGAAGCAACGAGCAGGAACGAAGCACCTGTTACTACAGTGACTATACCTTACATTAAGGGTACTTCTGAGACCATCTCACGGATCCTACAGCCTATTTGACTAACAATAGACGGACCAAAAACCGACCAATTTGACTAACAATAGACGGATCGAAACCCACCAACGACTGATGACAAACTTTACACAAGTCTTTCAGCAAATGCCATCATGGTTAAACTGACCAATCATGTTCAACGGACCAGACTTATAACATCCTCGACTGACAAAACTATTCACTTGACTCTGAAGATGACTTCTGCTCAGGTTGTTGAAACGTCAGTCACCAACAACAGTTCTTTTCAGAACTACCCTCACCCGGACGATCACACTATACGAACTAAAATTCATGTTATAAATGAAGTCCCTTTAATGGAACCAGTAACTCCACACTACTTATCCTTACACCTTTTGAAATTTCCTGACATTGTTAAACTGAATGCATGTATGCATGCTCTTTTCTGATTAGTTCTACCATGAAAAGTTTCCTAATACAGTGTATACCTGTTTCACTAGTGTCTGAGCTACTCAATTACAATACCCGTAGTGCATCGTCTAATCAAATCTTCATACCCTCATTTCGAACTAACCTTAGGAGATTTTGCCCTGGCATTATTGGATGTTTCTTTTGGAATAATATCCCGCAATCCATTAGGGATAAACCATCTAAAAAATATTTAGAAAAGCACTTTTGCACTGGTACCTTGCTCAATACTAGTGAAGCATTATCCTTTTCATAATTTACCGAACTATTTTCCTTCAGTCTTTTAATAAAAATCTCAAGTCTTTTGTCATAAATAACTTCAAGGGGCACAACGTTAGTTTATCTAGATGTGCCCCTCTCCTCTCCTTCCAATATACCATGTAAATTAATTTAAGTGTTATAAATTTGTATTGTATGTTTCTTTCAACCTATATTTACTTAATCATGTATTATTTAGGGCTTGGGGGAACGAATAAAATACAAAACAAAAAAATACAAATACAAATACCTCTCATAAGTGACCACGACCACTATTAGAGCTAAAAGTTTGAACGTTTCTTTTGTTTTTAACCTCCCGTACGCGACCACGTGACTGATAATAAGCAGAAATTGGATAATAAGGCGTTGTAGTTTATGAGAAGCGAACCATGATACTCTGAATAAATATCTTTGGATAACGTAAAATGTTTTTGTGGCTACTAAAAGTTATTGCATGGATTTAGATGGGCACTGATGCATGGGGTACACTGTAAGTCTCTACCGTTACCATATGCTAATGAAGCAAAGTTTTGGCCCAATATGGTGTAAGCTCTCGTTAGCGACCACCCCTTGTAAGCGATCACCTAGTGTTGACATTTTGTGTGGTCGCTTACGGGAGGTTCAACTGTATACGTTAAAGCTATTATCCCTTGCCAGGAATGTAATCAGATACTCGTAAAATTTTACGATAGTTTGACCAATGCAAATAACTTCTGAATAAACAAAAATTCTCTTCTCTTTAAATATTAACTACTTATTAACCTTGAACGTTCATTTTGTACTGGAAAATCTCAAGCCGAGACCATGGCTTGCCGTATTGACTGAGGAATAGCAAGGTCAGTACTGCAAGGCCAAGGTTTGCTTTGTTTTTGCAGGTCTGTAATCAGCCCATCTGCATTGTGCGAGAACAATGCCCTAGTTAGCCAATTAGAGTATGCATTATATCCTTTACAAACACAAACCTTGTCAATAATATTGATTTATTCTATCTTGTTTTACTGTACACTTTCAGGAATGAAATCATACCCAAGTTGAGGGAGTATAACATATTCTTTGGGGAAGAAAAGCTCTCCAGTTAACTAGCAAGGAGGTAATGTCTTCACATGCTATAAGAATACCTTTTTTGACTAAACATTATTATTTTAGATATATTTTAGTAACCTTCAAATTAAGATTTTGTATAGAAAAATGATATGTACCTGTAGTCTCTTTGACACATAATCATAACTTGATGTAGTATTAATAGTGTCGGTGTTGAAGATTGAGAATTTTTCGATAGTCAAGAATAGTTGTGGCTTGGATATTTCATAATACCATGCTACTGCGGAGTATTGCTTTTAGAGCCTCGACACATTTACCTGTACAATAAAGTAACATGTCTTAATTTAATAAAATATGTGCCATTTATGGTTCTATAATATGTGCTACCGCATCACATCTTTAATTTACAAGTTCAAACTGAAAAATGGAGGGTGATCTACATTCTGCGTTTATTCTTGCTTTTGTACTTATTCTCTGGTTTAAATTAATTCATTTAAGACATTTGGCTTGTCAAGCCCTTCAGCCACTTCCTGTCTGATCTCTGCAAACCATGAGTGTTTTGCCTCTTGTTCAGACAAAATCTGTTGAGGGAACACGTATTCGAGATATACACGTCATTTGTTATTAGACTTGACAGCATTCTCACTAAGTACTGGCCGCCAGCAAAAAAGCTGGCTATTTCGGTTTCTGAGCCACCTATTTGTGAAATAATATGTGTGTAAGTTATTAAGAGTAATTTAGGGACAATACAGGTTTTTACGACCTTGACTGAACCTTGACTGTCTTTGCCTCAGGACAGTCAAGGCTGTAGCTAAAGAGGGGGCATAAGGTCAGGATGTGGCGATCATGTTAAACTTTGCTAGCGCTGTGGGATAAAAATTGGAAAAAGTCTTTATAACCCTTAATATTCTTAGTGTTGCAAACTTTTCCAATGTTTTTTTTTAGGAAATATGCCCAAGAGAATAAAAAAACATCATTTCAGAGCCTATCAATAATTTATTTTTAAATTTTATGGGGGAGCCTCCCTAGAGGCTTGTCCCTTCAGCATTTGAATCAGCGTCAGCCATCTACTTCAAATCCTCTACTCCCTGAATTAATGAGAATCCTGAATACAGTAAAGTACACTTCACGGTCTGTCTTAGATGTGTCTATTTTTGTATATTAATTAATACTTTTTCAGGTTGGAGGCAGGCTTATTCTTGAAGGCATTCTCAAGATATACTGGGGATTAAAGGTGCCTGTTACACTAGCAAGCCACAACCTTTCCAATTGGCATAGACGGTCTCAAAACGACCCGAATGGTTATGCGAGAGTTTTAGCTGCTAAGAAAAAAGATGGCATTGTGAGTATATTTGGATGAAAACGTTAGAGCCAACAGCTTGTCTAGCAGTGCTGGTGCTTCAAACGTGATTTTCTTTAGCATGAAGTGTCTAGCCAGGAGTGT